GTCCTGTCCCCCCCCCATCCCCTGCCCCAAGAGAAAACCCACAAGCTCTGAAATGGCAAAACAAAGACATGTAGAGCAGACTGGACGTCACCTTGCAAAGGGCCACACCCTTGGACTGTGCCAACACTGTGGTATGTGGCTTGGGGAAACATGGATGTACCTAGCATCTTTGGAGAGACATTGAAGGCTTTAAACTCCATTAGGGTACCCATTGGGTTGGAGCTGATCACAGAGGGGTGGTTCTTCTCTGTCCAGAGGCACTGGGTTGAGGAGTGTGCATATATACTATTGATGGATTTGGGCATGCTGTCTCACAGGTGGGCAGCCCACTTACACGATGCAGTGGTCAGCTGAGTACATCTGAAAAAAAAAAAAAAAAAAAAAAAAAAAAAAACCATCCCCCAGTTCCCATCCTGCTCTCTTCTCCCATAGCTATATACATTGTCTTTTTTACTGGGTTCCATGTTGGTCTCATTGTCTTACTCTGCACTGTCAATTGCTTGCAGTGTTCTGACTGTGCCTTTTGTGTTTTTCTATGGATTCCTCTTTCTTTGAAAAATTTGGATGACATTTTCTTGTTGGGCATGGGTTTTACATTACAGACACAACATAAAATGGATTTGTTTGGAGACTTGGCTAGGGGTGGTTTTACATAAGTGGGTTAAATACCTTCCCTGATTGTCATACTTGGGTTAAGAAGCCCATCCAGACAGCACTTGTTCTCTAATTTACCTGGTGAGATGTTTTTTTAAGGTTTCTATTAGTATGACAGTGGTTTAGAGAGAGTTTACCAAAGCCAGCAGAGGGAAGGTTTGTCTACTACTGAGTCCAGACCTGACCAACCTCCTCCACAGAGCCTTCTTATGGCTCCCTGGCTCTTCTCCACCCACACAGGATGAAAACCTGACATTTTCCATAACCAGACTTCTCTCTGTTAACAGCTAGCTAGGAAACATCAACAATGTGCTTTGCTTGAATGTGAGCACGTACACGTGTACACACACATACACACACACACACACACACACACACACACACACACACACACACACACACCCCACTGAACTCTACATGTACATTTTGCAGTCTCTGGAAACATCTAAGTGTCCATCATCTAAGCAGACTTGTCCTCTGCTATTGCTAGAGAGGTCCTTTCCTGAGACCTCAGCTAGTAACTGCCTTGTGTCCCCTGGAGAAAACAAGGATCCCCAGTTCAGATGATAATCTCTGAAAGCCCTCGTGTAACTCTGCAGTGCCTTTTTCTGGAGAAGGTACAAGAAAGCACCATACTTGTCACCAGGATGTCTACTTGAATGGGCCCATACATAGCACCCATTTGGCCTGTTCAGACTTTGGCTACATGCACAACTGCAGGGCTGACAAGAGACTGTTTTAAGATGGCTTGTGATGTTCAGGACAACATCAAAGGTAACCTTAAGAGGAGTAGCTTCTCTCTCCTCTTTTCCTAATAGAAAGGTCACTTCTGAGTCAGCTATGTTCAACAAGACCTCTCCGGAGGCATTCACTCCTTGTTATTTTTTACTTGTGATTACAATAAGTGACTTATCCCCAAACAGATTTAAGAACAATAAACAAATACAAAAGGGAAAGGAACATGTCATCAATAACAAAGACTGTGTCTGAAGCACTGAGTTTTAGGCTTTTACATCTCTTTCCAAGCAAAGCAGGGCCCACAGAGAAAGGAATTCAGAAGATATGAAAGTCATAAAAATAGTAAGGGACGCCGTTTTTGTCAGGATCTGGTCCTCTCTGAGAAATACTGCAGAGGACAGTCTTAGCACTTTGTTTGCATGGAGGCTTATTTTTTTGATATCTGAATTATTAGTTCTTAAGCCTAATTTGCATGGCGAAAAGCTGTTAAATTGTATTCTCAATATATACTTTTCCTAAATTCAAGTGTCACATTTTGAAACCAAATTATAAAGAAAAGGGAGGGGGAGGAATAAGATCTGTATACTGCGTTGAAAACTAACCCCCAAGGTGGAATGCCAGCTGGTCACATAGCAGTGCCACCCCAGCGATGCCAGCTAGAAAGGGAACCTGCCGGTGCCTCGTGTGCCTCTAGTGGTGCTGGGTTTTCATTTTCCAACGTAGATAGAGCACAGATACTAAAACTGTGCAATTTGGCCCAATTATGCCCCCTCCCCAAGGATTTAATGAGACACTTGGAAGTACAATTCGTGGGTGATAAGTAGTTCCTCTGCCCAGAATGTTTGTTAGACTGACAGCAGCATGCTTTTTCCCTCAGCACTTATGACTCAGATGAATTTTAATAGGAGCAGAAAGCTTTTATTTGTGCTGTAATTTCACTTAAGAATCATATCCTTCAGAACTGGCAGACACTTCTATGTCTTGATTGCAAAACACACGTTCAGGAGTAAAGAAACACGCCGAAGATGTTATTATTCAACCTGTCACAGTGTCGCAAATCTCTTGGAGCCTAGGCCATCAGAGCTCTTCTGTGGGGCCTCCTCCCCACCCCCCACTCGCTTTAAATAGTCTCTGTAAAGAGCCACTTGGAGATTGCCACTGTCCCCATGCAGAATCAAAGAGGGAATCAGACTCTGCCTTAGCCTCCCTGCTAGCACGATGCCCACAGGAGGCTTTGAGTTACAGGCAGCTTTTCCTCCAACAAAATGGAGCTGCTCAGTGGGTGCTGCTTCTGTCTTACCCAGAGAGCCTGGATCTGGTGGGAACCAGAAACCTGGCACGGGCTCCAATTCCCACCTCAAAGCATTTTCTGTGAGCAAATTTTGGTTCCTATATTTATTTATCCACATTTATCTGGGATGTTTCCTGTCCAGTAGGAATTGTCTTTATTAGAAGTGTTACGATTGCCTGGATTCATTGGCCCTCCACCTTTGTGAGCTGCCTACAGAAAGATGCCGTGGAAACTGCTGTGCATGGCGTTTCCTGTGCTTTAAAAATCTCGGTATCATCCAGTCTCAGCCCATAAGATCGTCTCATCTCGTCTTTCTCCTGTCTTATCAGAAGAGGCTACATGATGATGTGCCTACAAGAAACACATTTTTGATATGAATATAACATTTTATGTCACTGAGAAATATTTGAATGTTACAGACTTTTCTTTTTCTCTCTCAAAATGAACACTGAAGCCTTTGTCTCAATTTATTGATCTACCCAGCGTAGCTGCTCTGGAGGCCCGGGAGGTTTGTGACAGCAATCTGCTGCCATCTACTGGTGTGCGCAGACAGTGTCACTCCTTTTTCCCTAAGGCTGATGGGCTCCTGGGATTTGACTTCCCCTGAGTTGCATGAGCAGTGAAGAGTTCCTCAAGCAAAACCCTGGCGGTTTTCTTTATAAAGTTCTGATGATTTTTTTTAAAGATCCACGATGCTCTCTATATATCATTAACTAATACCTGGAGTAGTTTCCCTGTTAAAACACTGGCTCAATATGTCCCAGAGATAAATAATGTTGTATGCAGGGTTTTTAGGATGTTTCACTTCAAGGATATTACTGTAATTTTAACTTAAAGATACAACCAGACTTTGAAAAGTGCTGTTTTTGAAGATAAGTTTATCATTTAACTTCCTCTATGCTTTTCTCTTTCTAGTACAAAGTGCACATTTTAACCAAACTTGCCGCAGAACTGAACAAATTCATGCTTGAGAAGGTGGCAGAGGACACAAGCAGTGTTCTGCGCTCCCCAATGCCTGGAGTAGTGGTGGCCATTTCTGTCAACCCCGGAGACATGGTAAGAGCATTTCTGTCTAAGGGACATGCTGGGCTCAGACCTCCCTTACCGAATAATGGCAACTGTAGGACTGTGCCCTCCCCTCTGTGGCCTCTCTCAAACCCTGGAATACGCTCAGTCTTCCTGCTTTGCATCTGAGTTGTGGTGGTGACAGTGCCTCTCTGAGCACCTCCCAAGTGATGTCGGAGGGAAATGGAAATGAGGACAGACATTCTTTACTTTCTTGAATTCAGGATTTACAGAAGCATTTTACTTCAAACTGCTATTTATTCCCCAGCCTCTGGATATGAAGCATCCTTGAGGAAGTCATCTGCTTGCCCTCATAATTTGCTGTGAACAAAATGTGTAGGATACATACATTTTCTTAAAAATCAGCAGCATAGCAGCAAAAGAAAAAAAATCTGAGATTCAACTGGGAGAGGTCCTTAAATACTCGTGTTTTTACTTCTGTGTAGGAAAGTAACAGGCAGATGGGGTAGACTTTCACAGGCTGTGTGCTAATTCTATTTTGTATCTGAGTGAAACCATTGGAATTTACCTGATTTTCTCTAATGATCATGTTAAGGTGGCACATTATTATTATTTTTTTATTAGTACAGATAAAGTATCATGTTAATACTGAGAAAAACCCATAGAATTGGCACTGGCTTCTAGAAAATCTAGAGAAAGCGGTCAAGTTTGGTTGTTTTAAATGGTTAGTCCCCAAACTGACATAAAGCTGGGGAACAGACCTCGGATGGCTTCTCCTGTTGATGTTTGAGGCCAGGCAGCCTGACCTGCTGCGCAGTTCACTCTGAAGGCTGCAGTTCACTCCTGACCTGCTGCGCAGTTCACGCTGAAGGCTGCAGTTCACTCTGAAGGCTGCAGTGCACTCTGAAGGCTGCAGTTCACTCTGAAGGCTGCAGTTCACTCCTGACCTGCTGCTGCAGTTCAGTTCACTCTGAAGGCTGCAGTTCACTCTGAAGGCTGCAGTTCACGCTGAAGGCCGCAGTTCACTCTACAGCAGCAGCTGGGAAGGCTCCCTGGTGCCAGTGTCAGGGTGTGGTAGGTTT